GTCACCCAGTGAACTTCATGGCAATTTGAAGTTTTATGCATCCAATTGCTTCAGTATTAATATCTGCAATAGGGTGATACCAGCAGTTTCCGGCAAACCCTCTTCTTAGTGAGACTTTGCGGGTGAACTGTGAGTTTTTTTGGGAACTGGATGAGAGACAGGATGGGTGGGTAGAATTCTGGATGAAAGCCAGGTGACAGAGAGGAGAGGTGTGTCAGAAGGAGGAGAACGTTCTACCTCCACTCTTCTTCCTCTTTGGTGATCACTCGTAGCCGAGAAGATTGTCTTCCATGAACACAGTTTCAACAGTGAGTCTGTAAGTGACTGTGGAGGCCAATTCTGGATCCACACACCTTTTCACAGTGGGGACACAGGTTTCTGGGCAGGAGTTGATCACGGTGAGAGTTTGCCAAGTGTGCCTTCCTCTTTGCACGTTTCTCCCTTGCATCCTGAGTTCAAGTGTCTTCAAAGTCCATGGCACCTTTGGTAAAGGCTGTTCTCCAAATGGAGTGCTTGCAGGCCAGTGTTTCCCAGTTGTCAGTGTTTATACTACAGTGGTATGGACTGCAAGAACATCAAACCTATCCATTCTGAAGGAAATCAGCCCTGAGTGCTCACTGGAAGGACAGGTCCTGAAGCTGAGGCTCCAATACTTTGGCCACCTCATGAGAAGAGAAGACTCCCTGGAAAAGACCCTGACATTGGGAAAGATGGAGGGCACAAGGAGAAGGGGACGACAGAGGACGAGATGGTTGGACAGTGTTCTCGAAGCTACCAGCATGAGTTTGACCAAACTGCGGAAGGCAATGGTCCACGGTGGTCCACGGGGTCACGAAGAGTCGGGCACGACTAAACAACTAAACAACAACATACTACAGTGGTACCTCGGGTTAAGTACTTAATTCGTTCTGGAGGTCTGTTCTTAACCTGAAAGTGTTCTTAACCTGAGGTACCACTTTAGCTAATAGGGCCTCCTGCTGCTGCTGCGCTGCCAGAGCACGATTTCTGTTCTCATCCTGAAGCAAAGTTCTTAACCCGAGGTACAATTTCTGGGTTAGCAGAATCTGTAACCTGAAGCGTCTGTAACCTGAAGCATCTGTAACCCGAGGTACCACTGTACATTTTTTTTAGAACCTCTTTTGTTGGCCTCCACTATGCTCTTCCTCTACTTTCAGAGAGGCATGAAGTTGAGTGATGGAAGATTCAGGACAGATAAAATAAAGTGCTTCTGCATGAAGCACATAGTTAAGCTATGGAACTCACTCCACATGAGGCAGTGATGGTCACTGAATTGGAAGGCTTTACAAGAGGATGGGAAGAACTCGTGGAAGATCAGGCTAGCAATGGCTACAAGCCATTGGCTACAAGGCAGTCAGAGTCCACAGTCAGAGGCAACAATGCTTCTGAATACCAGTTGCTGGAAACCAAAGGAGGGGAGAGGGCTCCTATGCTCTTGTTTGGATTTGGATTTGATATCCCGCTTTTTCACTACCCGAAGGAGTCTCAAAGCGGCTAACATTCTCCTTTCCCTTCCTTCCCTACAGCAAACACTCTGTGAGGTGAGTGGGGCTGAGAGACTTTAAAGAAGTTTGACTGGCCCAAGGTCACCCAGCAGCTGCATGTGGAGGAGTGGAGAAGCGAACCCGGTTCACCAGATTACGGTCCACCACTCTTAACCACTACACCACACTGGCTCTCATTTAAACTTGATCTGCTCCTTGGTTTCCCACAGACATCTGGTTGGCCACTGTGAGAACACGATGCTGCACTAGACGGGTCTTTGGTCCGATCCAGCACGTTCTACTTCTGTTCTTCTGCATTTATTAAAGCAGCATTAGATTGCATTAGCTTTTTTGATCAGTCAGTTCTTTTCACCTCCCCTTATTATATGATACTGGGTGGTTTTTTGTTGTTGTTTTTTTTAAAAAAAGAATGCTAGGATTTGTTTTTATTATTGCTTTTATTGATTCAGTGTCTGTTAATAATTTAAGATGCTTTAAACTTATTTGTAAAGAACAAAAGGGAAGAACGGCTTAAATAAATTAAAAAACAACAACTAACAGCATTCTCTTGCAGGTTTATAGCCTGGAAAACATTATAAATCGTTCTGATACACAAACACACTGGTAAAGGGGAGAGAGACTGGAGACCAAGATGCTGGTATCAAGAGGGGTGTTGGACGGCACTCATGAAGAAGTGAGTGCAGGAGATCAGAGCAATGTGTAAGGGGACAGCGCCAGGTGATTTTCATGCCATCTGGGGGAGCTACTTAGCCAATGCTGCAAGAGCTGAGTGTAACTGCAACCCACCTTTGACACACCGAAATTTGCAGAGAGATACTCTCAGATGAATAAAGATGACTTTCAAATTCCCAGCATCATAGTTTGGCTTTCTGAAACCCACTCCCTTCATGGTTGCTTTGATTATTGCTTCATATTTGTTGTGGCAAATCAATTTTTTTTTTAAATTAACACCACCACCAGAAATTCACATTCTACAAACCTCTGGCATATCCCATATTTAAACTTTTTGGGAACTGACTGTGGTGTGCTGTTTTTTGTTTATATTTTAATAGGTTATATATTTTTTAATTCTGCTTGATTACTTTTTAAATTAATTAATTACTCTCTCTCTCTCTCTCTCTCTTGCTTTCTAGTAACTCCCTGTGATGCTCAGGTTAGCAGCTAAGAAAGGCTATTTTGGTTTCAGAGTACATTGTGACAATCACATCCACACCACACATTTAAACCATGTGTCTCCCCCAAAGAATTCTGGGACCTGTAGTTTACCCCAAATCGCTACAATTCCCAGCACCCTTAACAAACTACAGCTCCTGGAATTCTCTCATAAAGGTTGTCCAGGATGCAAAATATTTTTATTTCTGTTCACGCTGCCAACATGATAGATGCTCAGCAACATCACTTATCCATTTCCCGCTGCTGAAAAAGCTGCTCTGTTGAAATGTTATATATTTTGTTTTTTCCCTAAACCCCCAGGGTCCCATATTAGCTGCTCACAGTTTCTCATAAAGCTGGCTAATTGTAAGAGAGGTCCTTTGGAAATATCACACAATGCAGCATTGCTTAATTTTTATGCATTGCGGTACTCCAGGGAAAGGAAATCATAAATTGTTGTTTTGTTAAATTGCCTTCAAATTAAAGGCTTATAGGGTGTAGTAATTTACCTAGAAGAACGGTTCTGCTGAGTTATCCCAATAGTCAATTTAACCCAGTATCCTGTCTCCAACAGTGTTCAGATTCTTCAGGAACATCTCACCACACTGGCAACCATTAATACTACTTAATTTTATGTTCCTCAATCCCTTTTGTCAGGTGTTCAGCAGACAATTACCTTTTTTTTTTTTTTGCATTCATCTGTCTCAAGAGACAATGGAGTAAGCCTCTGGGGTAAAACCAAACCACTGTGCTGGCAACACTGAAGTGACCTCCCCGGGGATCAAGCGTGGGCAGTGTGTACAGAGGTCCAGAGTTGCCCAGATAACAAGACCATTCTTGGCGTCACTGAGGTGGTCCAAAGAAAAGCAGAGCAACACGTTTGGCACCAGCTTGGCTCCAGGTGTTGCCATAGTAGGGAATAATAATAATAATAATAATAATAATAATAATAATAATAATAATTTATTTTTATTTATTCCCCGCCCATCTGGCTGGGTTTCTCCAGCCACTCTGGGCAGCTTCCAACGGATACAATAACCTATTAAACATTAAAAGCTTCCCTAAACAGGGCTGCCTTCAGATGTCTTCTAAAAGTCTGGTAGTTGTTCTTCTCTTTGACATCTGGTGGGAGGGCATTCTACAGGGCGGGTGCCACTACCGAGAAGGCCCTCTGCCTGGTTCCCTGTAACTTGGCTTCTCGCAGCGAGGGAACTGCCAGAAGGCCCTTGGCACTGGACCTCAGTGTCTGGGCAAAACGATGGGGGTGGAAGTGGTACTACTACAGATGCCACATAAAACCCGTTCTGCATTTGTAGGACTCTATCATTTAGTGTGGCAGCGCCTGCACTTGGGAACTCCCTGCCTATTGAGACCATGCAGGCGCCTTCACTGTACTCTTTTCGGTACCTGCTGAAAACATTCCTGTTCAGACAAGCCTAACCAGGTGCTTCGAAAGACGAGGTATTTTTAATTTTGTGTTTCAAAGCAGAGTTGCAAATTCTTTTTTGATTTTTCTGTTTTATCTTTTGCAAACTGCTTGGAAGTGTTTTTTGGTTTTTTGTTTTACAATCAAGCAGTGTATAAATTGTACAAATTAAATGAATAATGATAAAAGTGGTAACATGGTGCTTTAAATCTGTGGTGTGAATGTAGCCACAGTGAATCTGGCTCTGCCCACTCCTTGCCAAACACTCTAACCACTATGCCACATGGTCTCTACACAGATCTGCCCAGTCCACTGGGGAAAAAAATTGCCTCCTCCCCTAACTCCCTCCCTCAAATTCTTCAGTTTCATCAGTATGGCAATCAGGCATGCATGCAATACCTTCATCCTGCAGAAAAACCATGGATCCCAAATTAACGGCCTGCTGAGGCACTCTGTGCTCTGTCTGCAGCATTTATTGTATATGACCTGTGTGTGTCTTGTTTAGATTCATGGGCTACAACCCCTGAAGGTATATTTCCCCCTTCCTGACCTCACTTTTGCTTAGAAAGAGCAGCCGTTCCCAGTGTTATTCTTCAAGACCTTTTTTCACTGCTCTCAGCTTGTCGCTCCAGACCAGAAAGTGATAGCAGGGGTTGAAACACATTATTAAAGAGCATGGCAGAGAGTTTTATAGTTTCCCCTTAACTTCTGATTTACTCAGAGGATGGTCAACCTACTTTGATCTGGGATATATTCTTGGAGAGGAAATATTTACGGACAGCTAACTCCCCCCCCCTCTTTGCTCTAAGGTAACTACTGCTCCATCCATCCCCAATGTTCCTTTAGCTCTTTCTTGCCACAATCTCCACTCCATTGAAACAAGCAGTTGTGTTACTTACCACCAGGGAATAATAAATCTTGAATCCAGGCTTAGCCACAAAGAAGTCATCCGACTTGAAGGTGATTTTTAGCTGGTTTGTTTTCGATGTGATTCTTGGAGGAGCTTCCTTGTACCCACACCACCGTCCCCGGATGAGCGTGCTGATTTCGGATATATCTTCCACTTCTACAAAGTCGTATCTGGAAGTTAGGATGGACATGTTTATTATACAATATTACGGGACTAGGGCCGAGTTCCTGGGAACTTTCACCATTTAAATGAACAGTGAGGGAGGAAAGCGGGCCAAGATCTGCTGTCAAGATTTGGGGCATGTAAATTTGGGATGAACATACTCAGATTGGAAGAGTCAAAACTCATAAGGCATGGAGAACTCCTACCAGTGGCCATCACCCAGTGGCTGCCATTTCCCCACCCCTGTGAAACAATGTCTTTAACTATTTCTTTTTGTTGTTGTTTAGTCGTTTAGTCGTGTCCGACTCTTTGTGACCCCATGGACCAGAGCACGCCAGGCACCTCTGTCCTCCACTACCTCCCGCAGTTTGGTCAAACTCATGCTGGTAACCTCGAAAACACTATCCAACCATCTCGTCCTCTGTCGCCCCCTTCTCCTTGTGCCCTCCATCTTTCCCAGCATCAGTGTCTTCTCCAGGGAGTCTTCTCTTCTCATGAGGTGGCCAAAGTACTGGAGCCCCAGCTTCACGATCTGTCCTTCCAGTGAGCACTCAGGGCTGATTTCCTTAAGAATGGATGCGCTTGATCTTCTTGCAGTCCATGGGACTCTCAAGAGTCTTCTCCAGCACCATAATTCAAAAGCATCAATTCTTCGGCGATCAGCCTTCTTTATGGTCCAGCTCTCACTTCCATACATCACTAACTATTTCTTTAGGGTGCCTTTATTCAGAAACCTCCATTCAAAGGTTGCTACAGCACATGGGCTCCATCTGCACTATACATTTATTATTATTTTTTTATAAAGATTTTTATTCAAGATTTTCAACATACATAAAGAAAAGAAAAGAACAAGAATAAGCACACAATAGAAAAAAGCATACAAGAAAAATAGAAAAAATATAACATCATAGTCAGAATCTTACTTTCTTAATTATTCAGACTTCCTCACATCTTCTGTTCCTGCTTTCCAGATTTGAGAAATTCTAGACAGCAATTTATCACCTTATTTCAGATACTTATTTGTATTTTCCAATTATTATGTTTCCCATTTTAGATTAACCTCCCAAAAACTTAAAACCTTGGTTTGAACATAATATTATTCAATAATTAACTTTAACTCAAATTTCACCATACTCTCGCATTCTTTTTAGCTAATTTACTGATGCCACCCTTATTTTTACTCTTTCATCCTCTTAACATTCATACAGAATTTTTTCCAATCCTCTTCCATTGCTTCTTCTCCCAGGTTGCAGATTCTGCCTGTCATTTCTGCTAGTTCCATATAGTCTATCAGTTGCATCTGCCATTCTTCCAGCGTGGGCAAATCTTGTGTTTTCCAATATTTAGCAATCAGTATCCTTGCTGCCATTGTTGCATACATAAAAAAGTATAGTCCTTCTTTAACACCCTTTGGCCGACGATGCCCAAAAGCAAGGCCTCTGGTTTCTTGGGAAAGGTATACTTAAATACCTTTTTCAGTTCATTATATATCATTTCCCAGAAGACTTTAACCTTGGGGCATGTCCATCTGACCATACATTTAAAGCTGTGTCATGCCACTTGAAACCGTCATGGCTTCCCCCAAAGAACCCTGGGAAAGGATGCTGAGAGTTGTCGCAGGACCTCTATCCCTCCTTAAAGAGCTACAACTCTCAGAGTGGTTTAGCAGTCAACGCCTTTTTCCCAGGGAACTCTGGGGATTTTGCACTGCCATCATTAAGAATAAACAACACGGTGGCAAACAGCATAACGACAGCAATAAAATTGGATTTATAAATGCAAATATACATCACAACATTGCATTAAAAAACCAGGAATTTATGTAGAATGTTGATTGTGAAAGAAACACCATCAAGCTGACTACACTGGGGTGGGGGGGAAGTGTCCACAAGTCCATTCTCACAATATTATCTAGAAACTTTCTTGAAGGTAAGCCATGCCTAATAATAGCCCACATTCACTTTTTAAAAATAATAATAATAATCAAATGTATTAAGAGTTTTCAACATATGATACAATAAAAACCAAAGCAATTCTCCCTTTCTTCTCTTCTCTTCACCCTTATTTTTCTTTTGGTATAGGCCACATTCACTAATGGTTTTGGCTTCAAACCCATAGCACTGTGTATGTTGTTGAGCTACAACTACCACAAGAATCAAGATGGCTGTTGAGCACGGTTGCTGGGAGCTATAATTCAGAATCCTCTGGAGACCCACAAGTTCCCATCTCCTGGCTTGCAGCAACCCCATTCTTTCCATGGCCATGATTCGTAACAACTCTAATTATTTCACAGTGTGAATGAACTAATTCAAGCTTGTTAGCATGTGGTTATAAAGATGGCTTGTAAATATTGTATACTGATATTTTTTTAATTAAGCAGTTTAGATAAGATGCCGATGCTGATGCTGTTAAATAATAAAATGGGTCTATTTATGGGCTGGAACCAGATGGGACCTTGCCCCAGCATGGAAGTATCTTGGCTCCCACCATTCGCCCCAGCAACTAACAAGGTGGCTGAGGGTGGTCTCCTTTGCTGCCGCCGCCACTGCTCCAGTCTCTTTACCATGCTGTCTGTCACTCCCAACATCTAGAGGGCCAGAAAGGCTCTCAGCTGCTACATTGCTGGCATGGAGGAAGGTGGAACCATAACTCTCTAATGGTTAACTACAGTTATGAAATGGGCTGGCCAATTAGGTATTAGACTATTGCTGTGGAAGCTTCTTTCAGCATTACCAGCCACCAATCACTGACTGCTCTGGACAGCAATGTGGCAAAGCAGAGTAGCCACAACCTGATACTTCATAGCTTTAGACACTTCAAAAATCCTAGTGTGGTAGCATGTAGATCTGTCTGGAAAGCCTGTCAAGGGAAAGTTTAGGCATGCCTCTCTCCTTGGCGACAAGCCTCCCAATCCCAAACAGAACTTTGTGGGTTATTTATGACGGGCTGAAATTCATCCATATGCTTTGAATACTCTGCGGAAGCAAAAGAGCTATAAAGCAGCCGGTGCAGCTAGGAATATGGCTCCTTTGTGAGCCCAAATGAGCCCAAATTGTATCGTTATTCAAAATAAACATTAAAAAGAACAAACTCTGCATAGGGGCAAGCAGCCTAGTCAAACAGCTGACTATTCCACAGCCTATCCCTTCCCATTCCTTTCTTGACTACTCTACAGAGATAAAAATGTATTGGATGCTGTCCAGAGTTTTCTGTAGCCTGGATGAAAGCCCCGACTTCATACCTTACAGAAGTGGTTCTCAACCTGTGGGTCCCCAGATGTTGTTGGACTACAACTCCCATCATCCCTGAGCTCTGGCCTTGCTAGCAAGAGGTGATGGGAATTGTAGTCCAACAACATCTGGGGCCCACAGGAATAGTTTCTAATGGTCCCTGAACTCCTAAAACAAGGGTAGCCAACACAGCATCATGACATTTTTGCAGTCACTTAAATCAGGGATCGCCAACATGTCCTCCAGATCTTGTTAGACTCCAGCTCCCATAAGTCCCAGCAAGCACAGTCAATCATCAGGGGTGATGGGAGCTGAGGTTCATCAGCATTTTGAGGGCACCAAGTTGGGTACCTCAAGTGGGGTAAATCCAACTGCTTGGGACAAGGAAGCCTCCTGTGATAGTATGGATGTTTGGTGTATGGAGCCATATTTCTCAAGTGAAACAGAGTTCCCACAAGCTCCCTAAATGTGCCACACAGGAAGTTGAGACCATATAACACTGGTCCTGAAAGACCTATATTGGCTTCCAGTATGTTTCCGAGCACAATTCAAAGTGTTGGTGCTGACCTTGAAAGCCCTAAATGGCATCATCCCCATATACCTGAAGGAGTGTCTCCACCACTATCATTCAGCCCGGACACTGAGGTTCAACTCCGAGGGCTTTCTGGCAGTTCCCTCACTGTGAGAAGGGAACCAGGCAGAGGGCCTTCTCAGTAGTGGCGCCCACCCTGTGGAATGCCTTTCCACCAGATGTCAAGGAAATAAACAACTATGATGGGTGGGGCAATAATAATAATAATAATAATTTTGTTTTTCTCTTTTGTGTTGATGCCATTAACGCTTCACAACTGTCCCCTCTGCACACTCTCACACGACCCACCTGCAGATATCATTCTCTGGCTCCTCCAGTCCAAATTGGTTATCAAACACCAGCTGTATCCTTGCATTCTCTGGCGAAAGCAGCCTCCACGTCAGTAACAGGTTCCTGGGATAGTTGTGAGGAAAGCGAGGGCTGTGGATCTCACCACTGCGCAAGACACGGATGGTCTCTTCCTTCCGGTACAAGGCTGTGAGGTGATTGCTCTCTGTTGGTAGAGATTAGTATGTAGTTCAGGAGGGGAAATCAGCAAAGCTACATTATTTACATTTATAGAACGCTAACAGTTTCATACCCAGTGTTACTTAAGAATTCTAAGAAACAAAACATTGGGGCAGTTTTGAAACCAGTGCTTAGAATCAGAGCAATTTTGGAAGCTGCCATCTGCCTTACATGCCTTACATTCAATCCCAGGTATCTCCTGGTAGGCCTGGAAGAAACTCCTGCCTGAGATCTTGGAGAGCCATTGCCAGAGCTAGATGGGCCAATAGTGTGATTGGATATAAAGCAGCTTCCTGTGTTCTTCTCATTCAAAACAGATGAAATACTGTTCCTTGATTTCAGGAAACATCATGCAAAACTTCATTATAATATCTTAAGAGGTGGCCAAATGTACAGTCAACACAACCACAACTTTCCAAAATACATAGGAGATGGATTACATGAAAAGCTTGTATGACAGCCTTTTATACTGAGTCAGAGCATTGGCTCATCAGTAGGGATGCAAGGATCTGGCCACCTTGCTTCTCTCAGTTTCTCATTTCTTCAGACTTAAATTTAGGTTTCCATATCTAGCAGCAATTTGCGATTTACTGTCATTTTCTCCAAAAACAAAACAAAACAAAACAAAACAAACAAAACAAAACATTTTAGTGTCATTTTCTCCTAAAAACACATTTTTATATGCAATTTTATACAATACACACATTTTTGCAAGGAATTTTCCCATATATAGCATTTTTGAATGATATTTTTACTAGCATTTTAATGCACCACTTTCCCCTAATATATACATATTTGTTTGTTTGGAGAACTTGCATTGCAAGATTTGGATTACAGTGGTACCTTGGTTTACGAACTTAATCTGTTCCGGAAGTCCGTTCTTAAACCAAAGCGTTCTTAAACCAAGGCATGCTTTCCCATAGCAGCAGGGGGACTCAATTTACAAATGGAACACACTCAACAGGAAGCGGAACATGTTCCTGCTTCCAAGGCAAAGTTCACAAACCAAAACACCTACTTCCGGGTTTGCAGCGTTCTTAATCCACATTGTTCATAAACTAAGCTGTTGTTAAACCAAGGTACCACTGTACTGGAATACATAAAATCAGCGGCGTAGTGTGGGTTGTCAGCACCCGGGGCAAGGCAAGTAATTTGCGCCCCCTAACCCGTGGATTTGCGCCCCCTAACCTGTGGATTTGCGCCCCCTAACCCGTGGATTTGCCCTAACCCCAGATGTTGCGCCCGGTGCGGCCGGCCCCCCCTGCACCCCCCACGCTACGCCACTGCATAAAATGCCAGTCAGTTTTAAAACCATTTAACAATTTCTAGGTGACCATCCCTAGGAAATCCCTATTTTTATGTGTACAGTTCTTCAGAAATGGCAAAACAAGCATGCTAACAGTTTCCAGTTCACTCATCACCGGCTATAAAATTTTAGGTATGGAAAGTGCATGCTATTGAGTTGTCATATATACAAATGTCCCAGTATTTCAGTAAAAATAACCCCCAAAGTTGCAGTTCTGTGGCCACTGGGAGGGTGTCCATGGGATCTTTTACAACACGTAAAACACAGCATTAATACTAAAACACAATATTATACAATGTAAACAACCACTTAAAACAACTTAAAATGCGAAAAATAATCTGGGTCCTAAAAATATACACCCCAAGTGTCAAAAGCTAGGCAAAGAGATGCATTTGCTGGAAGGAGGCCAATGAATGTGCCAGATGTACCTCTGTGGGGAGGGAGTTCTACAATTTAGGGACTGCCACAGAGAATGTCCTCTCCTGGGCTGTCACCCCTCAAGCTTCTGAGGGCAGGGGAACAACCAAGAGGACACCATTACAATGATAAAATACATAGAACCATCCCAAATAGAAGAGAACGGTATAAATTCAGCCAAAGGAGTGAGTCCCACAAAACAAGACAAGTGGAGGAGGAGGAGTAGGAGGAGTAGGAGGAGTTTGGTTTTGATATCCTGCTTTATCACTACCCGAAGGAGTCTCAAAGCAGCTTTCAATCTCCTTTTCCCTTCCTCCCCACAACAAACACTCTGTGAGGTGAGTGAGGCTGAGAGACTTCAGAAAAATGGGACTAGCCCAAGGTCACCCAGCAGCTGCATGTGGAGGAGCGGGGAAGCAACCCCGGTTCACCAGATTACGAGTCCACCGCTCTTAACCACTACACCACACTGGCTCTCTACACCACAAGACAAGACGAGACAAGACAAGACAACAAAACAAAACAAAACAAAACAAAACAAAACAAAAACAAAACAAAACAAAACAAATCAACTGTCAAAGGTCAGGGTAAAGAGACATATCTTCAGCATTCAGTGCTAGATGCACCTCTGTTGGGAAGTATGAGCTGCCACAGAAAGTCCTCTCCCAGGCTACCAGTCCCCATGCTCCTGAGGGCAACAGAGCTTTGGAGAGGAACGTCTCTTCTAATCTTAACAGCTGAGGAGTTTGGTACGGATCAAGGCAGTCTTTCATATACTTTGGGCCTAAGAGCTCAGGTGTCTACCACTCACAGAGCCTTTGATGCCTTGGTCCAACCAAAGGGGAGTGTTGGATACAAATATATCCTGGTCAACGCATCGCCAAACCTATGGCTATTAGAAAAGGGCTTTTCAGATCCGTATACAGCATGTAAACGTAACATGACATAATTTTAGGGTGTTTATTTTTAATTACAGTGGCACCTTGGTTCTCAAACTTAATCCATTCCGGGAGTCCGTTCGATTCCCAAAACAGTTCGAAAACCAAGGCATGGCTTCTGATTGGCTACAGGAGTTTCCTGCACTCAGCGGGAGCTGCGTCGGACGTTCGGCTTCTGAAAAACGTTCACAAACCGGAACACTTACTTCTGGGTTTGCAGCATTCGGGAGGCAATTTGTTCGGCAACTAAGCCATTCGGGAACCAGGATTTGACTGCACTATGCTAAAGCAGGACTTCGGATAAGCCGCACATCCATGAGGTGAGGATGTCCTTTCCTCTCAATAGCACGGTGGTTATTTATTTGTGATTACATTATCATTATGTTATGATAGAGGAACATGAACAGGGCTCACTCCAGGTTGGGCAAAGTCTTCTAGGGAGTGCTCAGAGTAGCAACGGGTGTCTGCAAAGAGGAGACAAAGCTCAGTGGGAGAGCATCTGATTTGAGTGTAAAAATTAGTGGTTCAATCCCCAGCATATTCAGGTAGGGCTGGGAGAGACCAGACGTCACAGAACTATTTGGTCATTGTTTTAAAAACCGGCCTCACCATGAATCATTGTCTCTTTGTCCAAAGTCAACTTGAAGTGTGATTCAGTTGACATCTGTCTGCTTAGTAACTTTCCACCATTACTTCCCACCATTGTTCTCAAAGCAATTAGCAACAAGGAGATAGGAACCTACTTTGTTTTTGATTTTGTTCTCAGCATGTATACCAGCTGAAGAAGCATGGGTGGAGAGCTTGCATTAAAGAGGGGTTCCCACATAGAGATGGTCTATCACTATAAGTTCTGCATTTCCCCCCCTTTCAGACTGTTGGGTGAATCTTCACATTACAATCAGCTGACCACTGGGACTTGCACAGAACTGGGTCATGCACTGTGCAAGCCCCAATTCATTTCCCTGCATGTCAAACCTCAGCTCTCTGGTGACAATGGAGGAGTGTGCCTTTGGGGGTGAAGTCAAACTGCTGGAAGGGTACAGCGCCTGCTGTGGCTGTGGAGAGACATGTTTTGTTGCTGTTAGGGCAGATGAAGGCATCCGGTTGTTCTGCTAAAGATGAACTATGACGTTTCTGCTGTAGCAGTTGCAACATGCTCTGATAGATGTTATATAATTTTTAATTGTGTTGTTACAGGCACAGCACTGACCACCTGAATGAAACCATCGGACCACAGGTGGTCCCCAGTTGCCATTGATTGATATACAGTGGTACCTCAGGTTACAAACACCTCGGGTTACAAACACTTCGGGTTAGAGACTCCGCTAACCCGGAAATAGTACCTTGGGTTAAGAACGTTACCTCAGGATGAGAACAGAAATCATGTGGTGGCAGTGGGAGGCCCCATTAGCTAAAGTGGTACCTCAGGTTAAGAATGGTTTCAGGTTAAGAACGGACCTCCAGAATGAATAAAGTTCATAACCAGAGATACCACTGTATATTTTATTCATTCTTAGCAATGGTTTGAAAACAGAAGTACAAATATGTTTTGGATGTTTGTATTATATATCCATCTAGCTATCGGGGACAGATTTGCTCCTTCTGCAGCTTTTATTGACAGGACAAGAATAAATTATGAGGAGGAACCTTTGACTGAGTGAGGCTTTTGAATCATTGATGGTTAGGAGGGAAATAAAGTGAATTTTAGGTCAAAACTCAGAGCTCTTGTTCAGATCCACTTAGAAATACAAACGTAACTATTTCTTCACTTCCCCTGGGCTCTTTTCCACTAGGTGGGTGGCTGCTGATATCCGCATCCATCAAATTCTACATTAGAAATGTATGTCAGCAGTCCATCAACTACCCCTCTAGAGAGCGAATAACTCTATCTGCAAAAACAGCTTGAAAAATATATATGACAGGAGCCCAAGCGCTTGTCATAATGACTTTTTTTTTTAGAAAAGTGATTAAGCTGCATCATTTTATAGACCCTCAATCTGCTGTTCACTTTGTATTCCCCACTAGAAATTTCCTAAAGTGAAATCTATCCACTTACGATTAAATAAAAAAAAGTCTCCATCAGCCACTTAAAGTGAATCACAGAGGTGGTCTGCATGAAGCAAGCAGACATGTAAAATCTGGCATCTCTTTAATATAGGTAGAAGTACAGCAGGAGTATGGGCTTAATCACACACATCCCATAGCTGTATCTAAGTACTTCAAATGGGCACATTAGACTTTATATGCCTGCTATTCTCTGCACTTAACAAATGATCTGCATACTTTGGTATCTGAGCAAAGACAGCGCTATGGTTCTGGCCAAAT